GCTAACATAAACCTTGTTTCATGTATGACTAAACTCCAACAGGCAAACACCATCTGCCTGTTGAAGGAAGAGAGAAGGCACCGCCGAGACAATGCCGAACTCATTAGGAGTCAAGTCAAACAAAGGCTCCAGAACCAAGTTCAGATCAGGTGCCACTGCATGAAATTTTACTGACTTCCTTGAAACTGTATATGGTCTTGGAATATCTTACAGCTAAGAACATGGAAATTCAGACTGTGATAGAGCAACATAAGTAACAGGGACACATCAGTTTACCCTTGTACCTTTGCAGGGATAATGAGTATTGTGTACTCATTGTCTGCTGTAAAGTGTTTCTTAAGTGATATTTCTCCACAATATCAATAGGAACTTAGAAAAAGCTGTGAGGTTTTTTTCAGGCATTAAAATTTCAGCAACTTCTAAAAGACACATCTTTGCTTTCGATTTTATTCATGTAAATATAAACATACACTTTTCAAAAGTTATTTTATCTGAAATAATAGTTGTGTACTCTCTGGTTTAGTACAGTACTATAGTTTTGGAAGTTAACTCTTTTTTCATCCTGCTCTAGAATGATATTAAAATTTTATAAACCATATAAAAACAAATGAATAGCACATCAATGAGCTAAGTTAGCTACTTTAAAGTATGTGTAAAAGTATGTGTTTTTTTGCAGAAGCTGCTTTCTAGCAGGACTACACAGTCATTTCAGTAGTTAGGAAAGGTGGTTGACTGGTGTCAGATCTGTAGGTATGGAAAGTCGTTGCCTGGGGAGAGGTGAGTAGCAGGAGGATGCCTACAGAAGAGCCATCCAGGACCATTTGTGGTGCTTTCTGTTTTCTTCAGCATCTCCCAAGTGAGAAGTGCCACGCTGAGCTGCCTTGGATACCTTCTGTGAAAGCTTGGGTATACCCAGAGTGTGTGGGATTTTGAGTCTCATCAGAGGAGCAGAACCTTTCTTTAAGCACTGACTGTGCAACATCTGTAAAAAAATTTCTACTTGACAACACTGATCATCATCTGAAGAGAGCAGCTAAACCACTCTTAGACGTGCACTCAGATTGATTTACGGTCTTTGTGAAAATTTTTTAGCAGATTTTTTCTACTAAATTTTTTTAGCAGCTAAACCACTCTTAGCCGTGCACTCAGATTGATTTACGGTCTTTGTGATTTGATATTTGGCCAGCATTTTATGGTAGTGTGGGTCCATGAAAGAACAACAATCTCTGTTAGCAGAATGCAGTGGTGTTATAGGTGGATATCTCTGATTCACGATGCTGGAACAAATGAATGCTCTAGTACAAGCCCATTGTTAGTTGTCAGTGTGACTGTACATTCATCTTGATGTTTCTGAGCTAATATTTCCAGCAGAAACGGAGAGGTCTGTATTTGACCATTAAAACTGAGAGCAAAATTGCAAAGGACTACATGGAAGTAGGAAATCAAAGCATGCAGTGATATGTGCAATCATGAAACGCTTTCCAAAGATGTCCATGGCAACTAAAAGTCGTAACTTCATAGGATAACAAAAATCTCAATAGAGACCTCAATAGAAATATTGGCTTTTTGGCAAATTGTAAGTCTTCTTTCCTCTCCTCACCTAACCTTTTCATGTTCTACAGGCTATAAATTACTGATCTCTTTCTTTCCATTAGAAGATAACCACCTTATCACCTCTCTTTTCTTATCCTTATCACTCCACAGGCAGTAAGCATCTTTACTCTCAGGTGGTCTCATTGATACATATCTAATTAAAGGCAAAGCATTTTTTCTCAACTTGCATTCAGCTTTGAAGTACGTTTCTGTGATTTCAGACCTGAAGAACAGCTTCATGTGCCTGAAAGTTCTCCTTTTTCCAACTGCAGTAGTTGATCAAATAAAATATACTACCTCTGTCCACAAACTTTCCCTTGTCTGTATACCAGTGCATTCATTTATTGTTATTGAAAAAGAGAAGACAATTTTTCATGCAACCACTTAAAAGGTATACATGAGGACTGCAGCTCTTGAGCCTTGAAGATTAGGATGAAATGTTTAAATATCATAGAATCATAGAATCATAGAATCATAGAATGGTTAGGGCTGGAAGGGACCTTCAAAGGTCATCTAGTCCAACCCCCCTGCAAGGAACAGGGATATCTCCAACTCCAAAATATGATGAGACAGAGAAGAAAATGATTCAGTAGCAACTAAGGTAGATAACTGGATTAGCAAAACAAATAATTTTAGGGCTTAATCTCTTAAACGGGGACGTTTTGTGTGAAAAAGGTACTAGAGATGAGAAAGCTGAATATATAGACAGGAGATAGTGCCAGCAGCAAATTGTTTAAAGAGCATTGTTCTGCTTCTTGTCTTAGTGAATGTCTTAGGAACATTTCTGTGTAGTAAGAGAGTAGTTTCCCAAAGTTATATAGGATATAAAGAGAAAGAATGATCATTCTAACCAAAAGAGGGAAAAAAAAAAAAAAGGCCATCATTTCTCACCAATTAAGAGGACAAAGGAGAGGAAGAAACATTATGTGCATAACACTGAAATTTCCAGGCATCTTTAAGTTGCATAGTCAGCACTTATGCAGAGATTTACTGATTTTTTTTTTTCTTCCCCCAAATGTTACAGGGGTCACATTTTCACAATTAATTGACCTGACCCATATGATACTTGCTAGTTTTATGACAACCATATCTTCCACACGCCCCGCCCCAGCCCTCTTTTTTACCAGTTCCAAAAAGTTTTAGGAGTGGATTATGTTCTTTACTGTAAGGAGATGTTTGAAGAACAGTAATGGGAAAAAAAATCCACTGAAATTACCAAATTAGATTAGAGGAAAAGAAAATAGATCCAAGGTATCTCACCACCACCCCCCCCCAGTGCACCCTTTTACCCTTAAAGAACCTTTTTATACACTTGAGGCATTTTTAGTACTTCGGAATTATCAGCTGAAAGGCACTTTTTTGATGCAAATCATTTGCTTCACTGTTGTAGTGTGTGGCTGGCGAGGAAGTAGGTGTCCATTCAGCCCTAGGAGAAGGGAAATCCCTGTCCCCTAAGGGAATAATCCTGCAAGAAGCAAGTTCCAAATTTCTTACCTTCTTGTGGCCTGCCTGCTGCAAGGGAATGAAATGGGGTTATGTGGAATTTAAAGAACTTCTGCCTGTAGCAAGCCCCCTATGATCCTGTTCCTTATCGTTTTGTTTAGTAAGGCTGTCTTGTTGGCAGTTGTTAATAAGGTCTGTGATGGTTTGGGGTTTTTTTGCCCCCAGCTAATTGTGCTTTTGGTTTGGGCTTTTAAAAGTCTGTGATAGGATTGCTGTTTATAATATGTAATAACCACAAGAATCTTGTAGAGTTTTCTGAGGTCAGACTGTCACTATGCTTTTGTTTGCTTATGCTGAACTAGCACTTGGCAGCTTGTGTAGTAGCTCAGCCATTCTCTAACAGGTTGTTGTTTGTATGCGAAGTGATTGATGTGATTGAAGTGATTAGCATGTATATGCCTAAATAAATTGCTTTGGAGGAGAGAGGGATCCAAATGGAGAAAATTGGATAGATTCTAAGGGAGTTTGTTGTAAGAACGGTGGTATGTTCAAGAATGTGGAAAGGACTTAAGTGAGAATAAAATCTCAAACCAGGAAAACGTATGGGAAAGTACAATCTTGCTCTAAAATCTTTGCTAATGAAGGTTCAAGGATGTACTTTTTGTTATATTTCCCTGGAGGCAAGACCTCTGGTGCAGACACAGGCATACTGAGAAAAATATCAATTGCTGGTACAGCAATTTATTTTTCTGTGATAGCAATGTTGGGTCAACCCTCCTGGGTTTTGGCTTCCTAAGTCAAGAGCCTATACAAGAAGAATCATTTGAGTGCTTAAATCCATTGTAATAATATTGCCAAATCACTTGCCTCAAACTTCTTTTTTGAAGGACTTGGAGTCTACTTGAGTTTTTTCTTGAGAGCTGGCACTCCTGTTTCTGTGAATCAACAATAGTTCTCCGGATTTTTTTTGCAAGACTTCATTATTCATCATCGTTTTGGTATGACAGGAGAATCCTGTGTCCCACAGAATTTTTAGAGTTCACCTGCTGGTTAATATTCCCTTGCATGTCAGCATGTGGAAGCAGTAGATTAATTGTTTATTTATTCTTAACTTGTATACCTACAAATACAGTCTAAAAATAAAGGACTGGCCTGATTCTTTACATTTGTATACACACAGCTTTTGTTATTTTTTCCACAAGTGACAACCTGAACTTAATAAGATAATGAGAGGACCACAACTCATAGAATCATAGAATCATAGAATGGTTTGGGTTGGAAGGGACCTCAAAGATCATCTAGTTCCAACCCCCCTGCCATGGGCAGGGACACCCTCCACTACACCAGGTTGCTCAGCACCTCGTCCAGCCTGGCCTTGAACACTTCCAGGGATAGGGCATCTACAACATCTCTGGGCAACCTGTTCCAGTGCCTCACCACCCTCAGAGTGAAGAATGTCTTCCTTATATCCAATCTAAATCTCCCCTCTTTCAGTTTAAAGCCATTGCCCCTTGTCCTATCACTACAAGCCCCCATAAAAAGTCCCTCCCCAGCTTTCCTGTAGGCCCCCTTTAGGTACTGGAAGGCTGCAGTAAGATCACCCCGGAGCCTTCTCTTCTCCAGGCTGAACAGCCCCAACTCTCTCAGCCTGTCTCTGTAGCAGAGGTGCTTCAGCCCTTGGATCCTCTTTGTGGCCTCCTCTGGACCCACTCCAGCAGCTCCATGTCCTTCTTGTGTTGGGGACTCCAGAGCTGAATGCAGTATTCCAGGTGGGGTCTCCCCACCTGGGGAGAATGGGAATACTCCCCATTCCATAGGTCTAAAAGAATCTGCAAAATCCTGTTTTTCACCCTTGAACTGCCTTTTATTTGCACATACGCTGCGTCATTGTATGACATTGGCTTTTGAATAGATGTGTGTTACGTAAAGCTAATACATTATTCTTGATTTTGTTTTGCAGTACAGAATTGGGCAACTGTACATGATAAGCAAGCACAGCCATGAGCAGAGTGACCGAGGTGAAGGTGTGGAAGTGGTGCAGAATGAACCCTATGAAGATCCAAACCATGGCAATGGTCAGCTAACAGAAAAACGGGTCTATCTCAACAGGTGAGTGCCATAAATCTGCTGCTCTCAGCATGGGCTGTGTTAAAAAATTTGCAAGGAATATCTCTTCCAGGCAATAGCCTTTTTGTTTCCTGTAGAACATGTTGCCATGAATACGTGCCTCTTCCTGGTGGCTGCAGGAAGAAGGAAGGTGGGATAGACCAGTGGCTTGAATTAGAGAAATTAGTTGTCATTTCTTCTGGAGTATCTTTTCCAAGAGAACACATTATAACTTGGACTTAAGGATATACTGAAAATCAGAACTTTTTTGTTTTCTTTTAAACTTAACAACTGTTTGTCGTTCTGTTTTCCAAAATTATGAGGGGAAAAACAAACAAACAAAATAAAAAGCAAAACCAACAAACACCCCTACCCCCATAAAAAACCCAGAACTAAACCACTAAAATGATTTAAGGGTTTCTGGCTTCATAATAATGTCACAAAGCCAGTACTCCATTTTTGGTGAAAAAAGATTTACCTCAGCAAAATTAATTGACGTTTTGAATGACCATTGGACTTGTACAATGATGACCTTCTGTACCAAAATAATAGGCTTAAAGACAAGATGGAAAAATTTGCTTTTGTTTCCGAAAAGTTCCGTCATTTCTTAAAAGTGAAATATGTGTCTCTTCCTATGGTGAAATTATACTGCTGAGGGCCAATGCCTCCACAGTCAAAGGCTGGAGATCTTTTAAAATATATATATATATATTTTTGTGTGTGTCCTATGAAATATATTGCTCAATCTGTTCCTGTTTTTTACTACTGCTGATCTAATTGAATATCGCTGCTTTTCTGATGTTCTTCTCTTCCCCTGAGCCTGATTAGTTTTATTAAGCTTATGCTCTACAGTGTTTCACAGTGGGCATAGAAACACTACAGCTTTTGCTTCTACATTGCAAGTTACTCCTCCACTGCAATCCTGATGTATCTAGCCTTAACTCAGGCTAAATTGAATCACCCGTAATGCTGCACGCACACACACACAGAGTCCAATAATATATATCTTGCCAACATTTAATATTATTGTGATTGTAACTCTGTTCTCTCACAGGCTAGATACAGGACTTGGTAAAAATCAATAAATGTGTTCCTGTTGTAGAGCTCCCAGAAGTTTGGGGGGTTTATGTTTCTGGATATTTCTTTCCTTCATGTTAAAAAGAGATAAGGCTTTAAGGACTGAAGAGCATTTTCAGAATTACCACTTCAGGGTGATTCAAATAACCACAAGGACTGTGCCCTAGAAAGCATGTAGAAGACATGCTTGGAAAGTACAGAGTTTCTGGTAGTGCAGGCAATGGAACAAAGGATCTCTTCGTCAGCATTGTCAAAGAAGAGCTGTGGGCCTGCAACAACCTGGGAGGTGTACCTAAAGCTGTAGTGAATGTTTGAAGTAAGGCTTACTGAGTTTAATAATTATGAATACTCCTTGATAATGATCACCAGGTTTGCTATGTGAATCTGTCATGATTCTGGTTTTGGTGTCACAATATGACCAGATATTGCAGTACTGTTAAAGCTTTGTGGAAAGGATCAGCATGTTTTCAGGCAGCTATGGATTTTGCTGAGAGGTCAAGATCTCTCTGGAAGACTTCACTCAAGGAGATAAGCTGCCATACAAGGCATACAAACTTCTCTGCCTTTCTAAGGAGTAAGGGGACTCCTTACACCCTCATATTTCCTTCTTCCGGAGTCCACTGCTCTAATAAACTTCCTAGCTTTGCTTCACTTTATTTTGCTCTAGACTGATCTCTTGTGCATAAATTGAGCTTATATATTTCAGTGATGGTTTCTTGGAAAGGTTTGTGCATTATTTTCACTTATCTGTTCTTGCCTGCTAATACTTCAGTTCTTGCAGAGGATCTTGCTTACCAATGATTTCTGTGGGAATGCCTTTGGGAAACACTTCCTCCCCATGTGCTGAAAGACTGAACTTCATCTAGGGAAGGAAGAATTTTTTTTTTTTTTTTTAAAAAGAGAACGTGATAAAGATGCCTGTGCTGCTAAAACAGAAATATTGTATTTTCTTTCTTTGAGTGGATCCTTGGAACCATTCATGTGTGTCTATGACTTGCTGACAGCTGTGAGGATAATGTGTATTTTGCCCATGAAATTATTTGCTTTGGAGATTTGCCATACCGTCAAAGATAGGTAGACAGGCAAATATGATAAAATCAATAACCAAAAGAAGGGCAAAATGAGCAGCTGTATGTTAATAAAGACATTACTAATAACGTTTTTTCGTGTCACTGTCAGCCTTAGTTATATTCAGATTTGTTTACTGCCTCTTACTGAATTGTTTTCAGAAGCTGAAAGTCTGCATCCTGCAGTATTTGTTATTTAGGCATCAGAGTAAAGTTTAGCAGGGGTAAGGGAGGGTACAGAGACATACTCATCAAAAGTCACTGACAGAGGCTGAGAAAATAAACAAAAATGTGATACAGTGAAGTCTATTATGCAGTGTGTAAAATGCTGCTTAAAAGACTGAACACAAGAAAGGCTTATGTAGAGAGAAGAATCTGGTTTTGAGCAATGTCATCAAAGAGCAGAAGTCAATGCACTTGACTTTGACTCTTTAGATAATGTACTAAAGTCTGCATTTTGCCTCTGGACAAATATAATATTTATGTATAACTAGATCATGATTAAATAAGCCTTAATGATCCACACTCTGTATTTTCCCCAGAAATTGGCTAATATGGAAAGTCAGTTTACTTTCTGCACACAGTTATCTAAACATAACTGTTTCAAACATTTACACTTGGAAAACTGAGGTTTGAAAGCATCTACTTTAGTTTAGTAAAGATTCAAGCTTAGGCTGGGTGATCTGCTCAACACATCGCCAGACTAGTACAATTTTAACGAGGTCCGTGACGTGCAGGATGGTTGTGCTCTCCAAAGGTCTGCCTTCCTTGGAGTGACCAGTGCTGCGTCTTTGTTATGGCAGCTGCAGTGGTTCTGACTGGTGTCATTCAGAAAGGACTGAAAGATGAATTCTCATGAACTTGCCTTTTTGAAATATATGTTTGTTCATCACTTCTTGGTATCCGGAGTGAGCAGAGTTCTGGAAATGAAAGACCCAAGATCCATATAAGGAAAATGCTCCGACTCTTCCGTTAGTATTATTTAATTACCCTTTAATGATCTTGCCATGTCCTTTATCCACATCTTTCATTTCTTATTCTACTGCTGTTGTACCACTGCGTTGGTAAGTTCTCTTGACAGACTGAGCTCTGAGCTATGACATCGGTTCCATTAATTCTCTTTGCTTTTGTGATTTACTTTTCCCATCAGAAAAATGGGAGTAACACCACCTACCAGCCTCACAGAGGTGTTTTGAGTGATTTGTTAATTTTAATATAAAAGCTTCCTACTCAAGACTTGGTGTTGGTAGTGTAGGAAGAGCTGTGCACGAGGTGAGTTGAACGTGAGGGTTGTGTGCTGGCAGAGAATATGGAGGAAGAAGAAATAGTCTCCAAGAAGAAATAATGGAATTGAGATCCAAGTGGGCTGACATCACATATTTACTCCTGACCTTGTTAGAGAGTGCCTCCCTGTGGTTAAGGATTCTGTGGGACAGGTACACCTTGTGTGGTCTAACCTGCTGAGTTCATCCATGACCAAAGGTTTGAGGCCAGAAATTCTTGAAATCTGCAGCCTCGATTTAAATCCGAGCAGAGGTGATTGCAGCGGCACGATATTGCTCGCTTCGAGAGGGGAGCAGACGGACGTGCTTTCGGACGTGCTCCTGGAGAAAGCTGAGACAAAAGGCACAGTCGTGACATGGAAACACTGTTGTGAAGTCTCGTATTGCTGTGTGCTTCGGAACACACGCCACGTTATGAGCACGTTTGGAAGTATCTTCTTTTCTACAATACTCATAAGTCCTAACATATTTTAATTTTATATTTTCTTTTTATTTTCAGCAAACTGCCTAGCTGGGCAAGAGCAGTTGTTCCCAAAATATTTTATGTTACAGAGAAGGCTTGGAATTATTATCCTTACACCATCACAGGTAAGGAATAAAGCAGAAATTATTAGTGACTTGTACTTTTGGATAGCTTAGGTTATCTTCAGAAGCTCGAAGTTACCTATTGAGCCAGAGATACCAGGTTACTTTAACGACTCTTGTTGAATTGCTTGTAGTTTTCCGTCTTATGTTGACTGATGCCAGAAAATAAAGATTATAATAGGGAAAAACTGCAAAGAAAACATCAGGTGCTTAGATTCTGTGCTGACTTGTACCCTTTATTGTCTCATAGACTTTAGTCAAATATAAATCAGCAGATTATCTGACACTATTATTAATGTATGTTTACTGTAAGGATCTTGCATCATTGTTTTATGTCATATTTCTTTTTTTTTTTTCTTTTCCCTTATCGTTCTTTTTTTTACAAATGGACAACTGGAAATCAGAATACACAGTAAGTTTTTCTTCCTCTTTTTATTCTAAAAATAGAATTATGTGAAATGTAGCAGTGTAATTCAAATCGATTCCTTCTTGATATCACTAATACATAATGCACTCAATAGTGGAACTTTATTTTAGCTCTTTGTTTAAGAAATTTAAGGTTAAATTTGAAGTGTTTCTGTGGGGATCCTATAAATTATTTACCTTATCTTTTATAACTGCAAAATAATTTGATATATTTTTAGTCACTGACTGTAACAAAGAGAAACTTCTATAAAACAGGGCAAGGCTCTTAAGGTTCCATTTATTACGTGGAGGCATGAGAACAGATTTTATTTTATTTATTGTTTTATTAACTTATAAAATGCTCATCTCTGATATAATATCTGGGAAACTGTACAATCTGTAGACAAAATTAAACATAATCTGGGCACAGTGCCCAGAAAAATCAAGTATTCCCTCTAGCAGAGCTAAGGCAAAATATAGCATATAAGTCATGAGAAAAATTGTTTTAAATGTCCTGGCCTCAGTAATATACAGTAAGTTTTCAGCATCATTTGGAAGATGAGGAGGAGATGGTGAGGAAGTTCCAGGTGAAGGGACCTTTCAGAAACTCCTGCCTTCATTTAGTTTAAACTTCTGACTGTAGATAAAACATAATCCACTCATTTTTCTTAACTCTGTAGTGCTGAAAATGTTAGCGCAGTTTTTTAAAAAACAGTAAAGAATACAGAAAGGAAAAATATTTTAATGTGATAAATGTGAAAGACATAAAAGGATTTAAAGGGTCAGATCTGAAAACTGGAGACTTAGAGTTGAAACTTTGATGACCATGTTTGAAAATGCAAAGTACAAAACTCTGCTTTTCAGTATGTGCTGTAGATACTTATTACATATTCTGTTTTGTTTCATGTTTAAAATTATTTGATTGTCAGAGGAAACCAAAATGTCCCATAATGGACAGTAGTAATGAGGGGATGGGTTCACAACTATTTTTGTGGGAAGATATCTTCAGTAGGGCCTATCACAGTTTACACTAATTAAGGGTTTACTCTTTGATAGCAGGTTTAATCTTAGGTTAGGAAGATGATGTGCTATTGGTGTCTGTTACTTGCACTCTGTTGTATATTTTTTTTGTTTAAATTAAAGTCAATTTGAGTTTTTTAATGTGATTTCTTTTTTCCTTTAACTGAAAGTGACAAGTAGGAATGGTTAAAGAGGTGGTAGCAGGCAGAAATGTGTGTCTGAATTTGAAATGCAATACATTATCAAAACCAAACAGCAGTGCTGTACTCAAAGAATTTGAATCAGGAGGTGATCTTTATCCAGTGTGATGAGACAACACCTGGAACACATTTTGGTGGAGGTCTGTAGAAGGTATACAGCTACAGAGATGTTCAAGAGCATCAGCAGAAACGATTTCAGGATTGAAGAGACTCGTAAAGAAAAATTAAATCGGTCTACAAATGTAGAAGGTAGGCAAAACAGTCACTAAGTGACAGTATAACTGCCTAGGGGAGTTGGGGACTCATTACTCACTGTGGTGCAAGGAAACAGAACTAGAAATATTGGGATGAGATTAAGGAAACTGTACTTCAGACAAAAACCTAAAATATATTTTAGTGGAGCTGATAGACTATGAAATTATCTTCAAGGGAAATAAAGTAAGTGCCTTTGCCTCAAACTGTTGAATCTAGAACAAAAGTGTTAAATATGCCACTGGGAATAATTCCTATCTTTGTCTGGAATGTTTCTCTAAATTTTGGTCTTCTATATTCATTATAGAATTCTGAAGGAAAGAATAAACCCACAGACATTGCCCAAAATATCTAAGATAGCTTGGAAACCCTTTTCTTAAAGATAGCAAATTCCCTCCAAAGGGTCTGTGGGACATCCTAAAAATTAAATTGAGTATTTCAAGGAAAACTGGTTCTAAAGACAGGCAAATAATTGGATAAATAAAGCATAATCTTAGTAAGTCAAGTACATACTGTTACGTAGTATGCTCACGCCTTCCTTAACCTTGTAAGTTCCACTCTAAATAAAGAGCAAGGACCTTAAAGGCTCAGTAGTGTTACTTCAGTGTACGTTAGTGATTTGGAGGCGGATTTGAACAACAGACTCAATCTCGCTGTGGAGAAATTGCATTCAAGCAATTCTCAACTAGCATTCAGAGATTCAGTGCAGAATAATTTCATCGATCTGATTTTCCTGTGAAATATTATGGATTTCATAAATATGACCTTCTTAAGGACCTGAAATTAGGACATCATCTAAGAAAAAAAGCTGAGCAGGCATTGAAAATAATTTCCAGAATAGTATTCTTTTCAATGGTGGTATAAAAAGCCAAGAGTGATTGGATGTGTCAGGAGTGGAAACAGGAATGGAAAGTAGAGTGTCATGATGTTAGTACTCTGTAATCTGGGTCCAGTTCTGACGGCATCCGCTTTAGGGAATGGTATTCCTTACTTAGCAAACGCCTGAATTTGACAGCAAACAACAGGAGGTGACTGCTTGTTCTACTACCAAATCTCAACAACCTTATTAGTAATACCTAGAGCAAATGACACACTTAGGATGAGCTCAACAGAATTACTGCTTTTGTGGTGTGTAATATGTGAAATACTGGAATGTCAGGAGAGCATTCCGAAATGTAGGTTACGCTGTTTGTGGAGGAGGGCCTCATTAAAACTGCAGTACAAAAGACTTCCTATCAGGAAGACGAGGCATGGGTAATGTCCCAAGAACTGCTGTATCAAACCTTGAGCTAATCCTTGCAAGCTTCCTGCTGGCATTGAGAGAGAGGAAGAAGTGGAAAAAATACTTTCCAAGTTGAAGCCAAAGGAAGTCATCGATTTGGGGGTACTATTTAGAGAATAAGATACTCCTGTGAAGTTCAAACCCTTGTTCTAGTGGCTGGGGCATTACTTATTTACTGTATATGAGGAAGTGTCAAACTTACAACAGGAGTTGCTTTGGATTTGATCTTGTGATTAGAAACCTGACAAGATGTCTTGCTAAAATAAATGTTTCAGTTTTGTTTATCAGTTCGTTTAATATTGTGCTTAGGTTGATGTTAAGCTCATAGATTTGAGATACTGTATTTGGGATGCAGCAGAAAGGGAGCCCTATAGAAGTAACACCTTGGGATTCTGCTCTGTGAGCAGTTGCAGGACTTGGGCACTGGTGAGGGCCTCCTGTCAAGCTTCACACGCTGTTGGGGAATGGTTGTTGCTAGCTGCTGGCTTTTAGAAAGAATTCCTTTGCTAGTTGCAGGCTGGAGCCTTTTTCACTTGGAGGATGAAGGAGAGATGCCTTGCAGCTCTCAACAAACCCTTATGTCCCAGCCTATGACAGCATTTGCAAATATGTATTTTTGCTGTAAAATATTTATGCTGTTCTTAGATACGTAGACAAGAATGAATGACCTTTCAGAATGCTTTCTTTATTTTTCTTTCTGAGGTTGTCCAGCTAGATTAGAAATAATTAACTAGAAAGCAAATCTGTCTCTGTTGCAAACCAAACGAGAAAGTATTGCGTAGAACTGAATTTCTTTACCTGCATTGGAATATTGTTAGACAATGAGCAGCACAGAGCAAATATCCATTTGACCTGTTCAAGTGGCAGGGGGGATTCTGGACAAAAAGAGAGGAGCCTCAAGCAAACAAATAATCAGATCACGAATATCAGGTGACTCAAACACAAAAAATTCATATGATCAAAGTACACTGAAAATGAGCCTAACAAAGTTTAGCCATCAAGTTGGAGTACAAAAAGGTTAGGAAAAATACAGAGTTTAAGCAAACTCTTCTGAGTTTGAAGGTGCAGGTCAAGTGTTTGCCAGGAATAATTTCAAATAGTTTTGCTGTCTGATCTGAATAGCTTCAGTGTTGTTAGCAATATTTCAGTTCTGGGGCTGAAATTTAAAAACAGCTGGATAGGTGGGTTTTTATGGCCAACTGTTAATTTCATGATTATAGGTATATAAAGCAAAATAAACACTAAAAATGGTGTGATTTACTTCCTGCAAGGAGGAAGGGCATTCTTTCAAACTGCAAATGTCTCAAATTAGCTTAGGAAAAGGATATAAATTCAGAATATTTTTTATGAAAAACAGTTATGGGACAGAAAGCAGGAGACAACGATTCCTTTGATGATAGATCACAATGGCATTAATTCTTGTACAGCAAATGACTGAGGCAAATAAAATTATTTCATCTGGTATGTGTTAAGGCCCCAGAGTGATAGCTGCTAAATGTTCCATTATTGACCTGCTGGTTTCTGATTACTTTTGAGAACAGGCATGTTATGTGCTTCACTTGGTCAGCTGTGAAGTAAATTATCTGGAAGGAATGTTTTTGTAATTGTTATTTTTATAACAAGATGACTTGAAGAAGGAAAAAAAAGTTGTTTCAGATAAACATTGCAAGGAATCTGTAGAGAGGTTCTTTCCTGTGTTCTCTTTATCTGATTACCAGTGCTTGAAATTTGGATGTAACCCGTCAGTTTTCAGTGCAGAAACTTTTCTCCAGCTTGAGTGTATGAAGAGTCTGCATCAAAAATGCAACAGAACCTGTATTGCAGGATTAGAGCCTAATACGAAGTTAGCACCGAAATTCCTCCCCTCTCTCCCCCCAGCTTAGAAGACAGGCTAACTGGTGACATTACCCTGGGGAAACACAGATTTGGTTCCTTTATGGATTCTAGCAATAGGAAGGACCTCTGTAGTATTTGTAAGAAACAATATATTTTCAAAAAGCTGCAAACCTATATTCTCATTTAATAGCTTAATCCTATCGAAACAAAGTAAATCAAACTGCTTGGGAGAATTCCCTTTTTCCACCACTGGCTTATTATAAAGGAATCCAAACCCCTCTCTGATTCATGGTACTGTCATTTTCATGTGTGCACGCTGCTTCTCACTTCTGTCCCTCCTCAATAAACACGTTACTGTTCCCATGTATGAGATGGAGATCCTAAGGGAAAGCAAAGCCAGAAATAAGTGCTGAGTTT